AGAATTTCAGAATACCACTGGTGGCTGTGGTGTAAGCTCAATGAAGAAGTTGAACACTGAAAAAGGTTGTTCTTGCTCACAATACAGATGCGTTTACTGACATCGTTTCTAACAGATACAGTTGTAAGCATAGAAAAATGGGTCTGTTGAGGCACAGATGGCTTGTTTTAGAAGTTCCAAATATTTTTAGAATGTATGTGTTACTTCTGTGATCTGCGAGGTAAACATTAGTGTGGTATCTAAAATGGGGAAGTGTCACTTTGCATCACTGCTTCCTAACCACTGTGCAATGACACAGCCATATATTATGATGACCTCATTGGTGGATTGGCGAGAGCTTTTTGGACCTTTGGCTTCCCTTGCCTCTCTTCAGTTATCCTCATCCCCATGATACTTTTGTCCCTCCTTTTTAGCATTATCGTCATCAATGTGCCTTTTGGAAGAGTTCCCTCCACCCACATATTTTCATTCCCAAACCAGCTTTAATAGGGGTCTGTGTAACTGGCTGTCCTCTAAGTATTATTGAAAAACATTTAAATTTACAAATAAAACTGAAAAAGAAGCACAGAACTACCAATGTGGTTCAAATGTGGAGTGGGGGAAGGCTTGAATGACTGATAGTATGTTTACAACACATTTCCCTGTTGCTGCCAGGGAAATGTTCAGTCCTAACTAGAATGGCCCAAGTGTTTTCTCTCTTATTGGCCAGTTTTGGTCACTCATGACAGCAGCCGATTGGTATGCATGGAAAGCCTAGTTGGATATGACCCTCATTCTGATGGCTTTCTATAGACTGTAATTCATGATTTAATATAAAAGGACCATTGGTAATAAGTACTAATCCAGTGAAGCAAGAGTCACTGATATGGCTGGGCATGGTGGCTCACGCCTATAATTCTAGCACTCTGGGAGGCCCAGGCCAGGTGGACTGCTTGTGCTCACGAGTACAAGACCAGCCTGAGCAAAATCGAGACCCTGTCTCTACTAAAAATAGAAAAACTAAGGCAAGAGGATCGCTTGAGCCTGAGTTGCAGGTTGCTGTGACCTATGATACCACGGCAGTCTACCCAGGGCAACAGCTTGAGACTGTCTAAAAAAAAAATTTTTTTTTAATCACTAATTTAAGATTTTTAGTATATTTTATAAAAACCCACAAAAATCATTTGTCTCTGAAAACTATTTTCCTTATTTAAATGATATTATAAACTTTTTTTCCTAAGATGTTTAATTTATTTATTTATTTATTTATTTTGTAGTTTTTGGCTGGGACTGGGTTTGAACCCGCCGCCTCCAACATATGGGACCGGGGCCCTACCCTTTTGAGCCACAGGCGCCACCCTAAGATTTGAATTTAAAATTCCCTATGACACCTAACTCTTTTTTTTTTTTTTTTTTTGAGACAGAGCCTCAAGCTGTACCCCTGGGTAGAGTGCCGTGGCATTACAGCTCACAGCAACCTCCAACTCCTGGGCTCAAGCGAGTCTCCTGCCTCCGCCTCCCAAGTAGCTGGGACTACAGGCGCCCGCCACAACGCCCGGCTATTTTTTGGTTGCAGCCGTCATTGTTATTTGGCAGGCGGGGGCTGGATTCGAACCCGCCAGCTTAGGTGTACGTGGCTGGCGCCTTAGCCGGTTGAGCTATAGGTGCCGAGCCGACACCTAACTCTTTATGCAAAGTATTGCACATTTAAACATTGGTCATCCTTTTTACCTAATATACTGATTAATGCTGGGCCAGTGATTAAACATATGTGATCCTCTGTTGAGATCCGAAGGAACTTGGCACTCAGTCCTTTTATTTTATTTTTTATTTTTTTGCAGTTTTTCTTGGCCCAGGCTGGGTTTGAACCCACCACCTCCGGTATATGGGGCTGGCACCCTACTCCTTTAAGCCACAGGCACTGCCCAGCACTCAGTCCTTTTACCTTTTCTGGAATGGGTCATGTTTCAAGAAATCAGCATGAAAGAAAACCAAAGATGACAAACCACCTAAAACTTACAAGCATCCTTGAGCTTAAACAATAAAAGTATTTTTTTAATATTATTTCTTTGGAAGGAAGTAGCTTTTTTACTTTTTTAAAATCTAGAGTATTCACTTTATCAAGATCTACTTATTTTCCATTATCAAGTCTTTTATGACAAGGTTCTTTGAAAGCCTTATACCTCCTTTAATCCTGGGCAAGGAAATATTGCTGTATTTTGCAGTGATTGAATTTTTCAGCTCTGGCTAATACACATAAAAAGAAACCAACTTAAATTTCAACTTTGAGGTTTCCAATCTTTAATATTTCTTTTTTTTTATCCCATTTAAGACTCTATCATAGAGGTTTAATTCTGGTTTCAGATTCAGGGTTCAAATTCTGGCTTTTCCACTTTTTACTATTCCATACCTGTTCCCTAGACAGTTAAACTGGGGAGATTAAAAGTATGAACCCAGAGGCTTGAGGTGAATATCAGTGAGTTAATATAAGATCTGACAAGTTCACAAACTCATCTAGAAAAAGTGCTATATACCTTACTGCTGAATATCACTATGCTCACCTTTGAAATATTCCCCTTAGGAAGCTATGTACTTTTGAATTGCTTCAAAGGGTGGTCTAGGCACTGGCGTCTGTGTATAGCTTCCCGAGTGGAGGACTTTGAAGGACCATAGTGATATTCAGCAATGAGGCATGTAGCACTTGTTCTAGTGTGAGTTCGCAACTTTAATCATCTGACCTCTTACATAGAGGATACTTAAAACAGTGCCAGGTGGACTATAAGCTTTCAGTAAGCGTTAACCATGGCCACTGTTCTGAATTGGCTGATAGCCTTTTTAATCCAATAGTAACAGGTGAAATAATTGGTTTATACATGACAAGCATTCCTAGGGGAAGTACACTACCTGCCTGGGGTCACCTACAGTCAGATCAGTCATTGGCATTTTTACACCTAAGAGCCAACATAGGTTTGAGCCTCCACCTTTTGTCATATGTATGTATGTGTTTGTGTGTGCGCCTGCCTGTGTGCACACATGTGTGTATGAAGGAAATGGGTTTTAACTTAATCCTTCCTTCCCTACTCTCCAGTTTTCTTTTGGCCCCACCTGTTTCTGAAAATGTCATCAGATGATGGGCAGTCATCAGTATACTCTCTTCCTCTTTGCAGACAGCCCTTTACTATACAGCTTATTAATAGCTTAACTTTTGGCAAATGGTAAAACCTAGCAATTAAATCTGTTTTACTATTACTTTCTCTCTCATGGGGGAACAACCCAATAACACCTTGCATAACTGTCAGCAGTCCCCTGCTTAGGATGTGTTCCATAACCTGGAGTGTCACCTTCATCTCACTTCCTATCACCCTAGAAGTTCCTCATAACAAATTATCTCAGAGGAGATTTATTTTATTTTTTTGAGATAGTCTCGCTTTGTCATCCTTAGTAGAGTGCTGTGGCATCACAACTTACAGCAACCTCTTAGGCTCAAGCAATTCTCTTGCTTCAGCCTCCTAAGTAGCTGGGACCACAGGTGCCCACCACAACACCCAGATATTTTTAGAGATGGGTCTTGCTGTTGCTCACGCTGCTCTGGAACTCCTAAGCTCAAGTAGTCCATCCACTTTGGCCTCCTCGAGTGCTAGGATTACAGGCATGAGCCACCGCGCCCGGCCTCAAAGGAGATTTATTATTTGCTTTGGTTTCTAGTTAAGTGGAAATAATTTAGATGATCTCTGTTGGGTTTTTTTGTTTAGATTTTATTTTGTTTCTTAGATGCTTTTTCCTTATGTTGTTACAACTAATCAAAAATTATGCAAATTTGTGAAGTTTTATTCTAAATAGTCTAAAAATAATTTTTTTCCTCTGTCTAACCTTGATGCATGAAGATTGAAGTGACTACATTTCTCTTCATTCCGAAAAGGTTCTTTTTTTTATTTTCACTCTGTTACCCTGGGGAGAGTGCCATGGCACAGCAACCTCAAACTCTTGGGCTCAAGAGATGCCATTGCCTCAGCCTCCCAAGTAGGTGGGACTACAGGCACCCATCACCATGCCCAACTAGTTTTTTTTTTTTTTTCTATTTTTATTAGAGACAGGGTCTTACTCTGGTACAGGCTGGTCTCAAACTCCTGACCTCAAGCAATCCACCTGCCTCAGCTTCCCAGAGTGCTGAGATTTACAGGCATGAGCCACCACGCCTGGCCCTGGCCCAAAGCTTTTTTGTTTTTGTTTTTGTTTTTCAAAACAAACTAAATCTATTATACATTTAGATGTGACTTTGTTGAACACAAGTGAGTTTCAGATCATCCAGGTTTTTTTTTTAACCTATTCATTTGATGGTCTGGGCAATTTAATTTCAATGTATTCAATGTACCTTGGTGTGGGTATGGGACATGCCTTCTAGAAGCAGGTTGTATAGTGTTTTGGATTCCCAAACATCTATTTTCCTTTTTTTGTTTTTTCCCTAATGGCTTTGGAAGTTAGCAGTTCCTTGTTCCCTCTAGAAGTGTTGTCCCTTTACCTTTAACCACCCTACTAGGAAAGTGCTTTCTTGAGGCCCTGACCTCCCAAAGCAGCCATTTCAGGTCTTGCTGCAGATGGCCACAACAGAGATTATAGCATGCTCCTTCTCATTCCTTTCTAGCAACCCCTGGGTTGCGCTCCCTCAGTACATCACACATCATTTCAGTTTAGTGGTGAAGTGAGCAGTCAGTAGCCAACTAAGCCACTTTTCTAATTATAATGCATGTAGTAGGCGAGAGTCATCCTGAAGCAAGAAGCAGGTATTTACCTGTTCTTCATCCAAGTGGAAATACTATTGAACTAGAAATTCAAACTGGACTTCTTTTGTTCCCCTTCTGCTCCATGTCTCTTCCTTTTCTTTTTCTACACTCAAATGTGTAGAAAAATACTCACTCTGATGAACTTGCCCAAGTGATCTACCATGTCCTAAGTGGTCAACAGGGGACCTTGAATCTGGCCATCTCTAGCATGAATTGCCCTTATTTCTCCTAATGCTCCAGCTGCTCCAGTTTCTCCTGGCCCTTCAGTTCCAGTTGGCGTTGTTCCCTCTGGCTCTTCAGTTCCAGCTGCTGGTACTTCCTCAGGTATTGGTGTTCTGGCTGTTGTTCACTTTCCCGCCTTCCAACTCGGACATGTTGGGAGAAATTGACTGCTGCCACTGGATCTCAATCTATCACTTCTTTTGATTGTTCTCAGAAATTACCAACGTGAGTGGCTTAAGCCCTCCAGCTTGGGGTCTTCTCTTTGGCTTTTGGTCTCTTCTTCTGCAAATCTAATTCTGCCATCTTAGCTTCTTTAATGAGTTTTCTAATTTGTTGTTCTTAATTCCATTAATTTTGAGCATTTGTGAATTGCTTGGTAGTGTACCAACCACTGACATTTTTCTCCTTGGCAGTTTTACTAATTAATTTCATGTATTCTAATTGCCTTAGTCTTTGGCTGTAAAAACAAAGTAAATGTTGTGACAGCCTTCTGTGATCATTGAACAACAGAAGGAGAAGAATTTTAGAGACCAACTAGTTCACCCTCCTTAATTTATATTTAGGAAAACCACACCAAGAAAGATAAAAGAGTTGCCTAAGTCACATAGCTTGTTGGTGGCAAAGCCAAATATAGAACTTTGGTTTCCTGATATCACATCCAGTGTTGTTATTCGTTGTGGTAAAGATATAACTCCATGGATACCACTGTTGTCAGTCATAACTGTAAACTTTTAATTGAATAATAAGGTGCCCAGTTACCTAAGTTGTCCTTGTCAAGGAGTCATAGGGTTATAGAGCCATTGGGACTCAGGGAGTGACCTGATTGTCATTTTTTGATTTGTTTTTAAGTAAATGATCAGAATATACCTAATATCCTAAAGAACATGCACGTCTTAGAAAAGATGTTTTCATGTTTTAGTATTATACTAAATAACTCGGGGTACTTTTGCTAGACCTTTGACCAGAATCCTGCAAGATAGTGCCTGGATGTGTGATTTCAAAGTTTTCCAGTTAGTTCTGATGTGCTTTCCAAGTAAAAACCACTGCTGTAGAGTCTAGCAGTGTTTCTCAAAGTGGGGCCACCACTTTCAAATAACAGATCTCTGGTCCCCATTCCCAGATCTACTATTCCAGAATTTCTGGGAACAGGGCCTACCTTTAATCTCCTGAGTGACTGTTATGTCCATTAAAATATGAAAAAGCACTGGTCTAGAAGGGTTTAAGTCATTAAACAAAAAGCCTAGAGCAGTGGCTTTCAAATGTATTTGTTCACGTCCCTTAGTGAGAAATATATTTTACATCATGATTCAGCAAATCCGTATAACTAAAACAAACATTTCGCAAATCAATATTTATCTTGCCAAGTGCACTGAACTCTATATTTTCCATTCCAATTCATCCTATTTCATTTTGTTTAAAGTAGCTAATCAAAACTCACTAAATTGATTTATAAACTCATAGTTCACTGCAGTTTTAAACACTGAGGATTGAGATATGCTTGGTAATTCTACCTGTCACAGATTTAAAACTTTTCTAATTGCACTTTTTCCAATTCTCCTGTTAAGCCTGTAACACCTCCTAGGGCTGCTTATAGGTTGCCTATATAACATAGGTCCACTTTGGTCACAGTCATACAGTACTGCCACTGTGTAAAAAGTGTATTGCTGTTGGTTCCTGGACATGGGAGATATTGCCACCTCCACAATGGTATCACTAATGGCTTGCATCAATCACAGTGTAAATAATAGAAATCTCAACCTCAACTAAATGAAGTTTTTTCATTTGAAAAAAGGAAATTTTTTTGCTCATGGAACCAGTGATCCAAGGGAAGCTTAGTTCAGGTGCTATTTGGTTCTGCACTCAGTGCCACTTGCATCCCCCCTCAAATCTGCCTTTCCTGGGATGGCTTCTGCTATGGCAGATTCAGCTCTCCCTTCACGGGGGCAGCAGGCCCCAAGCCACACACTGCCAAGCTCAGCTGAGAAGAGGGAATCGTGCAGACTGAGCACAAATCTCAATCGGGCTATTTGAGCACATACACTCTCCTGAACCAGTCACTGAAGTTCAGACCCAATCCTGGAGCTAGGAGTAGGATCAAATTGGAGGAAAATCCTGTGGCCGAAGATGAGGGAAAGCTGATTTCCTAAAGAGAATTTGAAATACTGCTCCAAGATGCAGGACTACTAGATCCTGAGCAGCAAATGCAGATGTCATCTATAGGCCAGCTATTTTCAGGGCCTTTTTCTTCCTCCTCCTACTTTCTTGGTTGCGATGCATCTTTCCTTGCTGCTTTTCATACCTATGGAAACTGCTATCTTGTCCTAAAGTCCCTGATTTAAATCTCATGGGAGGTAGCCACTGTCAAAAGCAAATATTTCCTCCAGGGAAATGACAGTTTAAATAATTAGAAAGAATTGATTAAAATTTACTGAAGGAAAGAAAGACCTGGTTTACAAATGAAGAGAACAGAATAATATAGTTAGGAATGAATCAAAGTAAACAATTACTGCCAACATTCAAATGTGTAGTGGGAAAGCTTGTATAATCTTCCCTGGAGACCTTTAAATAGACCACAGGCTTCAGTTTTTACTGGAGGCATCTGAGCACAGTGTCCTAAAAAGTATCAAATGACCACTAATAGATTAAAAGTTATACAAATTATATACAAAACTTAAATCTGACAACTAAAGCTCAGCTGACTCTTATCAATGACCTTACACAATTGCTTTATGTACCATTTAAGGTTTTCTTTCTCTCAAGCCTTCTATCATGAAGTAAAACAGAAATACTTTCTACTAGGGGATCAGAAAGTGGATGATAACTATGTTGATTGAAAATGGAGATGTTTGTGCACCAATCCAGCACAGAGAAAAAGAATGGTGACTTTAAAAAAAAATTATTTCAACGATTTGGGGTCTAGTGTACTTTGAAAGATTTTAATATAAATAAATATTTTATACATGTGAGACTAAATCTTTTGTTCCCTTAATAATAGGATCGTGTTCTCTACTTTGTTTTTGTCACAAATTGCTCCCACATTTTTTAAGATACACACGTTATACATGATATAGTGATCCTCGGCTGTGGATTTGATGCTGGCAACTAGCCTGCTTAGCTTTTAGATCTTGTGTGCTTAGGAAATCCATATTCCAATTTTTTTTCTATAAAAAATATAAGATAAGTGCCCTAAGGTTTGTATTGTTCTCCTAACTTGGTCTGTAATTTTGCATATAAAAGCTTTAAATTCTCTCTTGTAAATTTATTCTCTTCTAACAATATGTTCATTCATTTCTAATTTTCTAATTTCTGTCTCTCGAAAGCTATAGCATTTGAATTGCTTATAGAAACTAATCAGTCTCCTATCCTTGACAGTGATTTCATTAAGTTCTTATTTTTTAATGATGTTTTTCATATGTATTATTATATTTTGATCTCTAGTATGGCTTGATCTAAGAACCCAGTCTACCGTCGAGGCTCTTAGTAAAAGAATTCCAGGAAATAATAACTTTGTCAAGGTAAGAAATCTCATCAACAGTATTATATAAGAGTGTTTGTTTAAAATAAAAATTTGCAGATTTCATCAAAAAGACCATCTAGGCCTCGCATCTATGGCATAATAATTATTTCATACAATTAAGAGAATATTTTCCTCAGATAATTGAGGTCAACTCAAGTCTTTACCTTCCTATCTTTCTTGTCCTGTAGTATGTTAGAACAATAGTACCCCAATATTGACCCCTGACTCAACTATGCTTTCCAAATCCATCCCTATTGCCTTCTACAATAATTTATTGTAGAAAATTATTCCAAATCCATCCCTATTGCTTTCTTCTCTAGAAGAAAGTCCTAGGTGCTTTTGAGTTTTTAGGCATCTGAATGCAGGGAGAGAGAGAGTAGAAGATGCTCTAGCCTTTTATTGAACTCCTCTTCCACTTTCTTCATATGAAGAAGGGTAGTAAAAATTGCCTAGTTTTCAATCCTTATTTACATCTCTCTTCAGATAAAGGAAGGAAGAGAGAATTTTTGAAATGGGCAAGGCATTTTTCTTAACAAGGTCAAGGCCAGGTTCTTCTAGTATCCAAAAGAAAGTTCCCTTTATCTGGTGGGCTTTTTTTTTTTTTTTTTTGCTTTCTTTCTTTCTTTCCAGTTTATCTCTTTTTAATTTGTCGGTGGGACTCATGGCATTTTAGGCCTTGGTTCTGAAACTAGTATTTAAATCCTATTAATTGTCACAATCTAAGAAACCATTCCATGCTCCCCATCCCACCCCAACGACTTCAGGCATGTCCTAAATAAGCCATTTCCTATTCTGTTGTCTTTGTGATCCTGCCTCTCCATCACCCCGATCTCCAGCTAGACTCTTCTTCAAGGGACACGTGTTTTTCACTATGATGCCATTTCAGACAACTTTTACACTTTCTACCTATATCATGAAAATAAGATATTATATACTACCTCATTTTGGCTTTGTGGGATCTTCTCAGGTTATCCTATGGGATAATCTTTGGTCATTCAAATCAAATAAGAATATTTTCATAGGCTCAGCACTCGTAGCACAATGGTTACAGCACCAGCCACATGCACTGAGGCTAGCAGGTTCGAACCCAGCCCAGGCCAGCCAAATAACCATGACAGCTGCAACAAAAAAGAAAAAAATAATCAGACATTGCAGTGGGCGCCTGTGGTCCCAGCTACTTGGGAGGCTGAGACAAGAGAATCGCTTGAACCCAAGAGTTGGAGGTTGCTGTGAGCTGTGATGTTATGGCACTCTACTGAGGGTGACATAGTGAGACTCTGTCTTAAAAAAAAAAAAGAAGAATATTTTCAGAAATCAATTCCTTCCATTACTTTTGAGCATTGATTCTTTTAATTTTTCTAGGAAAGCTATAAACCCTTGAGTTAAGATTCTTAACGTATAGGTTGCATTACATTTTTAAATCCTTTAGTTTGAGTTTTCTTACAAAACATACTCATGTGAGATAAGAAGGAAAAAAGCACCACTATCTGGAGGTAAGCAATAAATGGGAATAGGAATCAAGGAGGGAAAATAGTTGCATTATTTTTGTATATGTATTTTCTTAACCATTTAACTTTAAACATCCTTTACAAATAAATTTAATATTTAATATATCAGCACAAATAAGAGCTAGACATGACCTAGTCTCAAGAGAGATTGATAAGCTGACACGTGTTTTATTTTTACCCTTTAACCTTTATTAGGTCCACATTCCCTTTGTTCAGTGTATTTGCTGAATTTAGGCAGCTGCTTTTTTACATAGAGCAACTCTGGGTTGCTTTAATCTGGCATGTCTTTGAGCTCTACTTTACCTTCCACTAATTTTATATTACTTATTTGAATATGTTTGTGCATACACAAAAAAATGTATTATTGTTACTAAGTCTTACATGTTTGAAAACAAAATTTTCTGGTTACAGCCATTAGTTTGTGATTTGATATACTCTGATTTTTAATAGTTTGAATATCACTGTCATAGACTATAAAATAAACAGCAGCACTTTGGACTAGGCTTGTCATCCAATAGTAATTTATCAGAGAGCCAAGTGTCATAGCAGGTGCCTGGAATCCCAGCTACTCGGGAGGCTTGAGGCAGGAAGATAGCTTGAAGCCAGGAGTTTGAGGTTGCTTTGAGCTAGGCTAACACCACAGCAGTCTAGCCTGAGCAACAGAGTAAAACTCTATCTCAAAAAAGAAAGAAAGAGGGCGATGCCTGTGACTCAGTAGGTAGGGCGCTGGCCCCATATACTGAGGGTGGCAGGTTTGAACTCTGCCCGAGGCCAAACTGCAACAAAAAATAGTCAGGGATTGTGGCGGGCACCTGTAGTCCCAGCTACTCAGGAGGCTGAGGCAAGAGAATTGCCTAAGCCCAGGAGCTGGAGGTTGCTGTGAGCTATGATGCTACAACACTCTACCAAGGGCAACATAATGAGACTCTGTCTTAAAAAAAAAAAAAAGGGAAAAAGAAAGAAAGTTAACATCTGTGTTGTCACTACCTTAATTATAGGCCATTGTGTCATTTAATTTTCTCTTTACCTTGCGGCGCGTGGCTGCTCTTTGAACTGCAAACATATCAGCCTGATCTTTGTTCATGAGCGCACTTTTCTGAGGCAGGAGAAGTATTTTTATTCAGTAATACTATAGGATTGCCTTTAGGGCCATTAAATACTTTGTGATTTGTTGAATTCTTTGGTGGTTTTCTTTTAAACTGTTACAAATGTAATTTACTAACTGAACTTCATAACTGTTTTAGTCCAAGACAGGCCTTCCAATTAGCACTTACTTCAGTGCAGTGAAACTTCGTTGGATCCTTGACAATGTGAGACAAGTTCAAAAGGCTGTTGAAGAAAACAGAGCTCTTTTTGGGACCATTGATTCATGGCTTATTTGGGTATGTTTAAATACAATGTAGATATGGAGAATTTGTTTAAAAAAATGTTTAGACTGCCTTGCTTGATATTTTCTACTGACAGTTCCACCTTTTCAGTTTGTCGCATTCTTAAGAAAAACCACTGAAGAAACAACAGAACATTTCAGCTTTCAGTTGAGAGGCATTTTTGCCTACTTCCTTTTTATTTCTTCTTACCTTATTTCAGTGAAAATGGAGGATAATTGCTAAAACTATATATCTCATCTCTATTGTATTATCGTTAGGATAAGTACTTTAGGTAGCCTTTCTTTTTTGCCTGTTACACTTCTTTCCTACTAGCCATTTCTTAGAAGAAATAACTATTTAAAGCAGGTGTCCTCAAACTGCAGCCCACCAAGGACATTTATCCGGCTTGCCGGGTGTTTTTGCCACCGCTTCCTGTCCTGCTTAGCAGCTGACTCATCCCAGGGCCCACAGTCCAGCCCTCCAAAGGTCTGAGGGACAGCAAACTGGGCCCTGTTTAAAAAGTTTGAGGGCTCCATGCCTGTGGCTCAAGTGGCTAAGGCGCCAGCCATATACACCTAAGGTGGTGGGTTCGAATCCAGCCTGGGCCTGCCAAATAACAATGACAGCTGCAACCAAAAAATAGCCGGGCGTTGTGGCAGGCGCCTGTGGTCCCAGCTACTTGGGAGGTGGAGGCAGGGGACTCGCTTGAGCCCAGTAGTTGGAGGTTGCTGTGAGCTTTGATGCCACCGGCACTCTACCCAGGGGGACAGCTTGAGGCTCTGTCTCAAAAAAAAAAAAAGTTTGAGGACCCCTAATTTAACATAATAAAATGCCTAGGCTACTGTTACATGCGCCTTCAACATTACACAGCTATAATCAAGGTATAACATGAAACTAAATCATAATGGAAACTTTCGTTATAGAATCTTTTTGCTTAAGCTGAACATAAATGAGTAAAAACTAACCTTTCAAACACTTCAAAGATACATCTTTAAAGTACATGGCCATTGGTGGTAGTGTTGGTTTATCTGTCTCTCTCTCTTATGCGTTGTTATTTTTATTCTGGGCATTTGCCAGTGTTTCCCAAAGTAGAGAGAATAGTATAACGAACCTCCGTAACAGTGAGCCGGCTACAGCAATCACCAACCTACAGCCAATCTTGTGTCAGCTATACTCACAAACTTTTCTCCCCACAGATAATTTTAAACCAAATCCCAGACATATAAGTTCATTTGTAAATACTTCAGTAAGTATGTGATGATCTTTTTCAACATTCAAGGGCACGTTGTCCCTGTTGTCACTTTCTAGATCTACAGAGCAGGTCCTTCAGAACCACTACCAAGTAAGAAGCTCCTTCTCCTCCTCTCCCTGTACTTGGCCAGGGCAGGTTATGTTTTGTACGCATGGCCAGCTCTTTTCATGTGTGTCAGTCACAGTTGGATGAGTAGTTCTAACAATTGTCTTGAACCAGAAAAAGGCAGGATGTGGCAAATGTGAGCTGCAGGAGACTCAAAAGGAATACATTTTGGCTGTACACCAGGGGATGTGGCTTATCCACCTTTGTTTCTTTCTTACCTTGAAATTATTTCCACCTAAAGCAGTATTTTTCAACCTTTTTTATCTCATGGCACACTTGAACCTACAGTTTAACTTCCCTGACAACTTAAATTATGTTGATCCAAAAAAGAGTTTTTTTTTTAAAAAAAAAGAATATACATATGGTGCTTTGAATTCTTTCACAAATAATTTAATTAATGATCTTTAAAAATTTTCATGGCACACTCAAAATCGTCTCATGTCACACTGGTAGAAAAATCACTGACCAAAAGGAAGGCAGCCATGTTTCCAGTTCAGGTATTGACAGTATATATGAGAAAGAGCTTTTAAAACTCTGCTTTCAGGATATACGCTTGGGTGAATGCAGACATAGCCCGATACAAATTTTAGTATTCATTTTATTTCAGATTAATATAAGGGTACATACAATTAGGTTACATTATTTGCATTTGTTAGGAAAGTCCAAGAATAAAACAAATAGATAACAACAACATATGATTCTCTAAGATCCTTAATTTAAGAGCCAGACATTTCAATTTATTTCACCTTGCCAAATTGAATAAGACTCTGAGTTTTCCAGAGATAAAGGGATGAAAACAAAATGGATTATTTGTTCAACTTATCAAGCAACTAGAATTATTCTGACAGGGTAGCCATTAGTCACACATGGCTATACAGCACTTGAAATATGTACAGTCCGAATTGAAATATGCTATACATATGGAATATATACCAGATTTCAAAGACTTAATACAAAAAAGAAGGTAAAATGTCTCAGTAGTAATTTTTTATATTGGTTACATATTGAAAAGTTTGCATATATTGGATTAAACAAAATGTACAGTATTAAAGTTACTATCAACTGTTTCTTTGTGCTCTTTTACCGTAGCTAGTAGAAAATTTAAGATTACATATTTGGTTTATATTTTATTTCTGTTGGACACTGCTGAAAACTAGGTAACTTAAATGTTTCATCCTTTTGCTTTATATGCTCTGCTGCTGATTATGGCCCTTAACAATATACAGTTTAAGTTTCAAATAAGTACAAATTTAACCTTTTTTTAAAACTTCTATTTAGAGTTTGACAGGAGGAGTCAATGGAGGTGTCCATTGTACGGATGTAACAAATGCAAGTAGGACGATGCTTTTCAACATTCATTCCTTGGAATGGGATAAAGAGCTTTGCGAGTGAGTTGTGTTTTGCTTGAAATATAGTTTCCCAATACATTATCTATTTATAACCTAAATCCTACTGTTTTCAGATGTCACTGGAGCACCAAAATTTAGCTATTGATACTTCCCTGCAATATGAAGGTCTATGTTGTGTGTTTTCTAAAAAGGACTATTACTGCACATATCATAAGTAGGCCATGTTAATTATTCTTCGTGGAGGATTAGGATCTTTTACAAAAGTACTTTGGATTCTGTGTGCTTTTTAATTTTATTGTTTGGTAGCATACAGTTATAATGTTAAATATCCAAGCATATACAACTGTGTTCTGCTAGCTTCTATATTCATCACTATCTGACTTCATAATCAAATACATTCCTTTTCTAATTGTTAATTATATATTTTACATTTAAATACATATAAATGTTTCCAGATGTTTACTTAAAATAGTGTTAAATACTCAATCTTACTGTTTTTCAGATTTTTTGGAATTCCAATGGAAATTCTTCCAAATGTCCGGAGTTCTTCTGAGATCTATGGCCTAATGGTAAGAAAGAAAAAAAGTTTTTCATTTACACAAACCTTAGCTATTCAGAATTTAAAGTCATTGTGTAATGTTTTATTTATTTATTTATTTATTTTTGAGACAAAGTCACTTTGTCACCCTTAGTAGAGGTATAGTGCTGTGGTGTCATAGTTTACAGCAACCTCCAACTCTTGGACTCAAGTGATTCTCTTGACTCAGTCTCCCAAGTAGCTGGGACTATAGGCACCTGCTGTGATGCCTGGATATTTTTAAAGATGAGGTTTCATTCTGGCTCAGGCTGATCTTGAACCTGTGAGCTCAGGCAATCCACCCACCTCAGCCTCCCAGAGTGCTAGGATTACTACAGCTGTGAGCCACCACACCCGGCTCTAAAGCTGAATTTATAAAACAAAGATGGAAGACATGATTAAAAGGAAAGGCCGGGCATGATGACTCACACCTGTAATCCTAGCTCTCTGAGAGGCCGAGACGGGTAGTTTGCCTAAGCTCAGGAGTTCGAGACCAGCCTGAGCAAGAGTGAGACCCCCCCCATCTCTAATAAAAATAGAAAAACTAGCCAGGCGTTGTGGCAGGTGCATATAGTCCCACCTACTTGGGAGGCTGCAGCAAAAGGATCTTTGCAGCCCAAGAGTTTGAACTGAGCTATGACACCACGGCATTCTACTGAGGGCAACAAAATGAGACTCTGTCAAGGAAAAAAAAAAAAAAGAAACAATTTGGTATTTCTAAAGTAATTATATAAGTTAAAAACCTTTGAGTCCTTATTACCAATTGATTTTAGACCTTTAAACTTTGAGTAATTAAAGTATTAATGGGATAATCTAATGCCAGATGATGGCATGGAAATGTTTGAGCCAGTTTAGTCTTTCAATCCAAATATGAATAACGATTTAGTAGCTGTGATGTTTGTTTTTAATTAGAGGGGAACTCTTCACATTTTAGCGGTATTTTTGTTTCCTCTTCACATTCCATTTAGTGGAATCTCTGTTAATGGCCAAACTATTAGATTCTTAGTCCACCTAAACAAAATTTAGCAAAGAAATTAAAAGCAGAGTCTGTTTCTGATTTGGGGTTGCTAATTCAACTGGTTTCTCTATGGACATTTTTACTGTTGCTTTCATTGAAACCCAGAAAAAAAAGTAGTTTCATCAAAAACTGTGCTTAGCATCATTGAGAGTCTGTGGTTACATATCAGTAATGAAAACCTCTAGGAGGATTTGAACTGGTGTTTGAGCATAAAAATCTAGAATTTATGATAAAACTTTAGAGTTAATGACTACATTCTTTGAATAAAGCTTGAGCAAGAATGTTTAACTGTCTCACTTATAATAAAGCTTTTTAAGACAACATGAAATTTCTTACAGGAAGCATAGTCACTGCTTATCTATTAGAAAAAGTACTTCAGTGATTTCATAGTTGTGAACAAACTGACTTGGGTCAGGGAAAAAGAAATTATT